GGATCAGATTCCTCTTCTACTTTTAAAAAAAATTTAAACCAGTTTATGGACTTACTGTGTCCTTGGGAAATTTTGAAGGTGGTGGGTCTGGATGGAAAGGAGTCTTAATTTAACCAAGGGAATGACGTGAGTCACCTTGGTTAACTTTGAGAAGGTTCCAGAAATTGTAGATTTCTGAAAAGTACAATTTTCACTTAAGATTTTTCTTGTCTTCTTTTCATCTATCTTTATTTCTGCTATCCTACCTCAGTACTTTATTTTGTTTCTCTCAGAATGGGAAAGAGCATTGGCGTTTTTGTCTTACTTGGATTTTTTTTGGTCTCTTTCCTCCTTGAATTCATCTCATTTTTGTTTTCTTTGGGTTATGAAGTACTTTGGGACATCTTTAGTTCTCTGTTTTTTTTCTTACTGTACCAGTTTTGCCATTTTTACACACAGGTACATTCCTTTCCCAGTAAAAAGCCCACATACATTGTTTCTGTATATGTTTAATGAATCTTATTCCTAAGAGCTCTCATCTTGTGTTGCTGTTCTGTTGCAGTAAGCATGGGTCTGCTTTGCCATCTGCCATCTTTTCTTTGATTTTTCCAGCTAGTGAAATATGTGGAATGCACAAAAAGCTGAAGACATTTTATTTCAGAGTTTTCTTCTAAATATATTTGGAACTCCTAAATTCATTGGAACTTACTGATTTTCTCTGTGACAGGTGACCTATCTAATTTGGTTTCTTTGTTGATATTTTACTGATTGTCTCTTTATGCTATAACCTTGCTCTTTTTGTCTTTGCATTAAAGAAAAATGGGCTGAATTCAGAGTTGATAGGAACTGTACTCAATTTTAACGATAAAATTAGCCCCTTAGCCAGGTATTAGATTGCTCAGTTTGTTTCCTTGGTCTTTTCTTCTCTGAGTTCTCAGGTATTTAAGCCAATAGGCATTGTGCACCCCTATTATTTAATAAACGGGCTGGAGTACATTCAGAGTTCATTTGTGTTGTTAGTTTTTCTCTCTTGCTGGGAAAAGATACAGAAAAAAAGTCAGAAAATTATTTTTTTAAGCTTTTATTTAAAATAAAGTAGTTAAAGGGAGGAAGAAGGACATATTTCAAGTATTGCTGTTTGATTTTGGAATTTAAAAAGTATGTTAAGTGGTCCATTGAGTAGGATTTTGTTTGGAGGAAATATCTGTTGGTTTTAACTTACATATCTTTTACTTTTATCAAATTATAATTTGATCTAAAAGAACATTTTTTATATGAAATTTAATTTTATGGTATCAACTATTTAATTTTTACATTTGTTACAAGTGTTTTTGAACTGGGCCTGGTGGGATATACCTATAATCCCAGCACTCTGAGAAACTAAGAAAAGAGGATCATACACACCCAGTTTGGGCAATTTGTCAACTTATCAAGACCCTGTCTCAAAACAACAAGCAAGCAAGCAAGCAAGCAAGCAAACAAACCAAAAGAAAAAGGAAGAAAAAAAGAAAAGAAAAGAAAAAAAAATGCCAGTAAGTAACTCAGTATAAAGACCCTGAGTTCACTCCCTAGTACCATGTGCATACACAAAGCATTTTTGACTGAGTCTGGCTGGTTAGAAAACATCTTGAGGTGAGTATCATGGATTAATTAATGGTCTTGACCCTGAGAGATAATGTGCATACACACACATACCCCATATACAATATTCACACGTTGTTTTGTATTTTTTTTGCAGTTCTAGGAATCAAACTTAAGATATTGTACCCCTAGGCAAGTGCTCTGCCACTGTTGGCACTGCTCTGTCCCCAGGTAAACAATACACATTTTTGTTCTTATATTAATATGGGCAAATTGAAGGTTATTTTGTTATACTAATAGGTGCTGCTAATTGCAGCAAGTGATGTAGAGGGTAGTGATGGTTACATCAGTTTGTATTGGAGAATAACACATTAATATGGCTGTGAATATTTAAGAAGTAATGTAACTACTACAGAAAAAGTAGTAGCTTAAGCTTAATTGAACTTTGACTTTTAAAATGTATTTGATTTTTAAGTACTTTGGTCTGTATTTGCTTTTATAGTTGCTGAAAATGTTACACATGAAAATTATGCTTTAAACACTGGAAGATGTTTTTCTAGTATTAAGTAAGTGGTTGTGAGAAAACTTTCACTTCAAAGGTCATGTTGATTTTCTGACATTTCCCATTTTACATTTTATACATATAGTTGAATTGCTCAGACTCCTACTTGAATGTTTAAAGATTCAGGTAATAAGTGTAGAAGGGAAATTGGAAAAGGACACAATGTTTTCTGATGCGCATAATTTCAGCTTTTGTTTCAGCACTGAAATTTTAATTTCTACAAGGCAATTGAGAGGGCTGAAAGGACAGCATGATAATAAGGGGCTTCAGTACCTGTTAAATTCAAAGTCAGCACTAATTATATTTTCCCATTAATTGATGTTGCATATAGATTTAGTACTTCTCTACTCCTTTCTCATTTAAAGGAGACATGAATGTTTACATTTTACATAGTGGATTGAGTTGTCTATCCGCTACATTTTTTCAGTTAAGTTGCACATGAATACTGCAGTAGCAGTTATGAAATCAATAACTCATTTTGCCCTGTGTTTATTGGAGTGGTGGAATTTACTGGGAGAGGTGAATAACTGGGAGACAGCTGTAATAGGCCTTAAATATATGGACTACAGATCAAATAATATGGGTTCAACTCTGGTATTTACTCTTTGTGTGACCTTAGGAACATTACTTAAACAATCTGAGCAATAGTTTATACTTTTAAGGATGGGAATAAAAACAGGATAAATGAGGGAGTAAAATGAAGTAATGAGAATAATTTTTTTTTTTTTTTAAGACAAGGTTTTGCTCTGTAATTCATGCTGGCCTTGAACTCCCTGTATAGCTCAGGCTGGCCTTGAACTGGTGATCCTCCTGCCTCAGTCTCTCACGTGCTGGGATTACAGGTGTGTGCTACTACACCTGGCTATGAAATATTTCATTTTACTATCTTTAACATTGTGAAGTAATATTTTAGATAACACAAAATATTCTTTTACTACTCTGAAGTTTTTTCATTGGTTTTACAATAAAATTGTTCATTAATAATTTTTCTTTTCCTAATTAATGTTTTCTTTAGAGTTTGTAGATTTGATCATAACCGTGGAAGAATAATTTTGACTTTCGTTTTTTGGTATTGGGGATCAAACTCACGACCTTGTGCTTGCCAGGCAAGTGCTTATGCCACTGAACGAAATCCCGGCCCTTTTGACTGATTTTGTTAATGGCTAATCACTATCTTTATGAAAATGATACAAAAATCTCACTGTACATTAATCAGAAGTTTTTATATGACTGTTTAATATTTGTACTGAAGTTAGTATCTGAAATGTAGTGAAACATTGATATAATTTTCACCTAGGAAAAAGAACATTTTAAATATTTCCTGAAAGATTGTGTTACCTACCGCCCACTTTAAAAACTGATTTTTCATGTGTGACTTGATTATGGTTGTTTTTGCTTGATATGAAAAGATAAAATTGCTTCTTTAATTAGTAGGATGACAAATTACGTGGCTAGGGAAAGGTCTTTGGGTGATACACTGAGTCTTTCTGCAGAATAAAGCTACATTAGGTTCTAAAACGCTTCATTATTTAAAACTGATAGATATTAATTTAAATTGCTTCAAATTTCTCTATGGCTCATATATTTTTATCTAGCTCATATATTCACTACAACCTATCAAAATTGTTACTGGATTTTCTTTCTAAGCCATTTGCTGTAATAGCCATTGTGACACTAATATCATTTGATGTTGATGAGACAATAAAAATAAATTTCTTACAAAATGGGAGGTATCAGGATTATTCTCAGGGCTACTAAGCTGTTGATTAAGATGAAAATAACATTTTTTGGTGGTTTGTATTAAAAATAGAGTTTTGTTTATTGGCTTGTTGGTGCTTATTTGCAAATGGAGTCATATATTTTTGTTCTTAAAAGCATGAGTACAGTGTATTAGAAACTTTCCCAAATATGCCTTTTACCATGCTACTCTGCTATGTACTTAACATGTGTTTTTAATAAATGATCACAGATATTAAGTAATTTCATATCAGAAATGAAATTTAACAGTGTCATCATAAGAAGACGTAAACATAGTTTTATGAATGTGATGATCTTGCAGCAGAAGTCAGGATGGTCTTGCAGCATGAGCCCAGTGATGATGAGGATGCTGGAGCACATTATGACGTGCAAAGACATGACGTTAGACTCAGAATCATCCAGAGTTGGAGCAAAGAACCTTAGTCTGTTTAGATAGATGAAGTTAATCACATACTTTTTGGCATTGCTTACACTTGAAGCAAGTCTCTACTTTCTAATTTGGTACTGAATGTAGGTAGAAGACAAAGTGTAGCCCTAAAAGGGAAAGGGTGCTGGGTTCTTATGGCAGTTTTACGTGCATGAAGGTGCTTCTATCATATGGATTGCTGGCTGTCAATCAAACCTGGTCAGTAATTTTCTCCTTTCCAATCTGTGAGTGAAGTATCTTACACAATCATAGCACATTTTTTTCTACCAGTATTGTAACCAAGTAGTAATATAAATCATATGTACAGTTAGGCAGTCCAGATACATTTATATAGCATTTGCAGATGCTTAGCAAAATTCTAAGAAATTTCTCTAGAGAAAAGAATGAGATGTGAACATACAGGGAGAATGGACATACAGTATGTGTAGAACATAGCCAACAAATATCTGGGTTTTATCTCTTCCTCGAAGAGGAACTTAGTAGGCCTCATTATACAGTTCACCTTTTGGATTCACCTAATTTAAGTGACAGAACTGGGCCTTGATTGCATTCATTCCCCTGACTTCCGAGTGAGTCCCTTTCCGCGATTCCACACTGTGTTAACTTGGGATGGCGAAAGGTTTCTGTCCGAGAGATGCCATTGAAACTCATCACTCCTCAGTGTGCTCACCAGCAGTCTGCGTTCTCCCTCAGGTCTTCTGAACAATGAGTGATGAGGCACCCCTGGTTTCAGTTTGCTGATTGCAAAGTAGCTGAAACTGCTACTTAAATGTGAGTTTGGTGGATCTTTCTGTTTACAGTGACCTTTTTACTAAGAAACTAGGAAAGTGAGATAGAATATTTGTCTACAATATATGAAACAGCAGCAGCTGGCTTTTACAGTGGGCTTTTCTGTTGTTCAATTAAATTATTTTGCTGTTCTTTGTTATGAATCGTTAACTTGAGGATTGGTGCATAAATAATGCCATTAAACATAATAAGATAAATAAATTTAGTAATAGCTGCACCAGAGAGTAAATATATTCTTTATGGAATTTTTTTTTTTTTTGTCTTTTTCGTTTTTATTGGTACCAGGGATCGAACTCACGACTGCCTGCTTGCAAGGCAGGCATTTATGCCGCTGAGCCAAATCTCCAGCCCCTAGTAAATATACTCTTCAAAACCCATCTTCTTTTTTCTCTACCAGGATATTGCTGCATTCAAATGGTATTTCTCATTTTGTCACAAATAATGACCTATAAACCTCACAGATATGAATTTAATCAAGAAATAAGGAAGATATTTGGGGTTGAATTATATAGCAAACCTTAACGTACCATTGATTCTTAAAGGCATTGGATTTTTAATCTTTTTTTCTTATTTTAATGTGGTGGAACCTTCTTTAAAGAAAATCTTGCTTGGGATTCCATTGTTAACAGACACACGGCGGGGGGTAGGGGGGGTAGAGAGATTGAGAGAAAAAGAGATAAAAGCAGTGGCTCTGATGGAATTTGGGGCCAGAGGTCTGCTCAGTGCCTGGCCCTGTAGCTCTTAGGCCTCTAGGGGATCTTCAGATACTTCTGAGAACAGATTGAAAGATACTGCTTTTAAGCTGGGTGTTGGGGTACATGCCTATAATCTTAGCATTTGGGAGGTTGAGGCAGGAAGATTGGTGAGAGTATGTGGTCAGTCTGGGTGACATCGTGAGTTTAGGTAGCCTGACTGCATAACGAGGCAGTGTTTAAAAAAATCAATTTTAAGAAAAAAATAAATTCTTGGTTAAAAATAAACTTATAGTTCTCATTGCCTAGTACTTAATTGTCATGAAAATTACTTGCTCTTAGTAATTTATCTTTAATATCTTTAAACATGAGTGCTGTGCTATGATTTGCTGGGAAAAATTCAACTTCTTAAAGTCATATATCTGTATCTCTCTATATATTTTATATATAATTAAAAAACTTTCCCCATAAATATCTTTAACTGTTGAAATAAAACCATGAGAGATGAGGATAGTTAGATAATAGGCACACACACACAATTTTTTTGCATGTGGTTAGACAGTGCCTTTCTCTGAATTTATGTCTCTACAGTAGCCATCACCTTCTATGATGTAGGTACACTATGTAAACAGGAAGTTATAAAATTAGCTTACCAAGATATTGGGACTTGAACCTAGGACCTTGTGCATTTTAAGCAAGCACTTTAGCACTGTATGTATGCGCTGCCCTTATTTTTTCATTTTGAGGCAGGGTCTCTCTAAGTTACCCTGGATAGCTTGGATTTCTTTTCTTTTTTCTTTCTTTCTTGTACTGGGGATCAAACTTGTGCTTGCCAGGCAGCCAATTATGCTGCTGAGCTAAACCCCTGGCCCAGCCTTGAATTTATGATCATCCTGTCTGAGCCTATCAGGTTGCTGGGATTGTAGATCTATGCCATTGCATCCAGGTGCCAAAGTAACTAATTTTGAGAAATTATTTTTAGGTGATTTCTTTCTGCAATAAACCTGTATTGGATTCTGAACAGTTCAGTTCAAGGCACTGAAATATGATGTTGAATGAGAGTATCTGCTCTCGCGGTCTCTGCAGCCACAATGAGGAAGGAGAAAAAGCATGGAGTGTATCCTAGGAATATGTGGGAAGGACATTTAACTTCATTGTAGAGTGGCAGCTAAGCTAAGCTGAGGGATGGGTAATAGTTGTCCAAAACAAATTGTGAAGAGTGGTGAAAATACAAGGGAGACCATGTGTAAAGACTCGGAGACAAATATATGCATGGCATATTCTTGAAATTGCATGTACCTGGGTTTGGTTGCTGTATCAGTCAGTGCTCACTCGAGAAACATTTAAAAACGATATATAAATATATTAGGATTTGCAAGATAGGCTTATAGTAGCCACCGAGTCTGGTATGGAAGAGTGCAAAAGGGCTGTAAAAAGCCTTGAGTTCAGGCGGTAAGCCGATTGGTTGGTACCACTCACACCCAGTGCAGGTCTTCTGTCTGCAGTAAATCCATTCGGCAACACCCAGGACTATGCTGATCCAACTTAGTTGGCTGTTTCTTACTGAAGTAGGCACAGCAGGTAACTATCACAAAAAGTACATAAAATGTTAATGAAAGAGTGGAAGTGGTAAGAGCAGGCGCTTAGTCTTGGAAATCTGAGCAGCCTGGTGTTATGCTCTGGGAAATGGGGAGTAATTGAAAGGTTTCAAGCTGAAGGAATTTAGAATGATTTCTGTCTTTTCAGAAGATAGCACTTTGGCCAACTGTCACACTGATTGTGGGGCAGCTGTTTGGATGACAGTTATTCTCTGACTGTAGAAGGGTCAGGGAGTATAGAATACTACAGAATGTCTTTCTGTGCCATCCCCAATGGCCTCTCTCCTTTATAAAATCTTTATTTTTATGACCTTTTAATCTTATCACAAGGCTATAATAATTCAAAGGAACAAGTGTAACACTCATCTGTATACATACACACAGTCTTTATTCTTTCAGTATAGAAACTGGTATGCTGGATACCTAAGAGATATGAAAAAATCTTTTTTGATGTAAAAAAAATACATAGTAAACAGATGCTGATTCAATTCTTTTTGTAGTGATTTTTCTACTCCCAACGTGTTCTTTAGGCTTAGATAATTCCAGTAGGAGCTATTTCTTAACAAATCTTCAGGGTCTAACCATTGTATGCTAGGCTTATTGATAATAGAGCACTGTACATTTTACATAGTCTTCACATCATAAGCTTTCTGTTTTACTACAGTATCCTCAATTCATTTAACAGTTGGATATGCAGACATAATACACATGGAAAAGTAAAAAACCATTTAACTCAGCTCCACAATTATTTTTCAGTGTAAGTACAGGATAATTTATGAATTGAAAATACATTTTTGCATATACGAGGCAACTTTATTTCTGATATGTTCAAGAATGATCAAAAACGGAACCTATTTTAAGGTTATTATTTTAACTTATAATTTTGCATTTCATTTAACAGCTTATAATTTTTAATGATATTACTTGTACCAAATGAAATTAATATCTTTTGAAGATAAATACTAATTTCTTTAGTGCTGATCACATTCAGAAAATAAGCAAATTCAAGGCTATTTTTCAATGGTTTGTATTCATTACAATCAACAAATTTTCTTTTTTTGGTACTGAGAATTGAACTTAGGACCTTGTGTTTGCCAGGCTTGCACTGTGCCTCTGAGCTGTATCTCTGGCTCCTAACTAATTTTCTCATATTTTTCCAATGGGAACACCTTCAAACAAGCTTCTGTGTTCTTTTTATGTACTTCCATCTTTTTTTTTTTCTGAAATTTTTTTTGTTTGGTGACAAGATATAGAAGATTCATGTTATAATTTTTCTTTTCCATCCCTAGAATTGACCTTTCACCCTGGTTTATTCTAGTCAGAAATGGTATTGGGACCTAAGAGCTAGAGTTAGGCATTAAATGTACTGATTGGTACTTTGGAATCTTTGCTTCCAGTGCTCCATAGCTTTTCTGTAACATCCCCTGTCTATTTGTATCTCACTTGTTTCACAGAAATTAACACTTTACTTATTTGCTGAATCCTACTATGTATCTAAAATGGTGGGAGAATTATTTCCTTCATTGTGTACATTTCTATATCCTCTCTGGAGTTTATGCAAATATTTCATCCCAAATTTATTTAGATCAGTGCACTCTTGTAATTGATAACTTTAGTTCTCTGCTATGTTTAGATTTTTAGTGTCTAGCTGAACAAAGGCCATTTTTTATATATTTTAGATAATCAAAATATATGGCATAAAATAAGAATATTGAAGATTGTTTTTCTTTGCATTTAGTATTTTTCACTAGAAACTATCACTGATGCAAAATGAAGTACAAAGTTTTTCTCTTCATTCCCTTTCTTCCTTCCCCACTTTCTCCTTTCCTTTTTCTCCTTCCCTTCCCTTTTGTACTACTTCTTAAAAAATGTACAAGAGTCCAGTCACGGTATACTATATTATATATATTATTATATATTATGAATAATTAATAAAACATTTCTATGATTATGGGAAGTTGTGTATTCTGAAAATCTTTACTTCTGAAACATCATCTCATAAAAGTAAAGGTTCTGTAAGGAAAATAAGACAAGGAAGAGATAATTGGAAACCAGTGCAAGTCTGTAAACAGATCCAAGTCAATTACCTTCCCAAAGGCAAAGGCCCGTGTCTGATCACATAAGAGTTTTGAGGGGTCATTCTTGATCCAAAGCATAACATTTTGCCTGTGGCCTCTCAAATGACTCAGGTGGATCTTTTTATGTAAATATATTTAATGTAAGAGTCACCAAAAATTTAACACCAGCTATTTCACATTTTTATCATCTCTAACTTTCTGGAGTCTCTGCTGTACTCTCACAGCTATGTACTACCCTGTCAGGGACACACTGCTTTGTTTCCCAGGCCTTCTTTGGAAATCTGAGTGGAAAATTCCCTGGCTCCATAACTCTTGTGTTTTGCAAGTCTATAAAACCATCACCACGCAGATGCTGCCAGATGCATGGTGATGCTCTAGCACACCAGCCTGGGTCCTTGGATCATGGCTGCAGCGGCCTCTGAATGCCTGCATGGTTGAATTGTGGGACTTAGTCCTCTAAGTGGCCTGTTGGAGCAAAGGGCTTTCTTCTCACAAAGCCTTTTCACTTCATTCTTGTACCCTTCAGTCTGGGAAGGGCAGTGTCCTCCTGATTTCTGAGACACCCTCAAAGTATCTTTGCTATTGTCCTTTTTAATGATAATCTTTTCAGCAAA